CGGGCTTCGCCGCTGCCAAGTAACCATGGACGTCCCTCTTGGAGCCTCGGTGTCTCATGAGGATGCAGCCCAGTTACTCTAGCAGAACCCAAGGAGTTAGAGGAGAGAGGGGCTGATTTTCTTCGTGTTTCAGTCTAGGGGCCTCTGCTCAGGAGCCGGTCCAAGGCCCGGGCTCCTTGTGCCTTTCCCATCCCGTGGGAGATTGCTTCCAACCATAGGGTCAGAGATGGCCACCGCCTCCCCCTATCCATTCTTTCCCAGGTGTTTGGGGGGGACCAAGGAGGTAGAAATCGCAACTTCCTTTGAAGGGCAAGCTGAAAGGTAGGTAGATCACCTCTCTTGTGCCCCATTGGCTAGAACTAATCACATGACCACACTTAGCTGCAAGGGAGACTAGGAAATGTAGTATTTAGCCTGGCAATGGCGAGCCTTATTAAAACTCAGGAATGCGTGTTCAGTTCCTAAAGGGAAGATGGCAGAATGCATACTCGGCAATAGCCAGCAGCCTCTACCCTGTACAATTCAGGGATATGATTCGGGAAGGTGCTCAGCCCAGGGCCAGGTGCATGGCTGATGCTCAGGAAGTATGCGCTGTTATCATTGGTATCACAGGTAAGTCCTTTACACTTTCCGAAGGGTTACAGGGACCCACTGAGCCCTGGGACCGCTCTGACTGCTTGGTGGGGCCCTCTATCCACGTCCTGCATCCTCTAGGTGATGAGAAGCACCGAGACACAGCAGCCCCAGCCCAAACCCTCAGGGCCCACACCCCAGGCCATGGAGGATCTCGGCCTCGTCTCTCCCTTCAAAGAAAAATACAGGAAAACTGCCTTGTCTTTGGGGCTCGGGGCCCATAAGGAGAGAAGGGTGACATGGGGGCCTTGCGGCCCTGCCCACGGCTGCCTCCACAGAGCGTGGCGACCTCTGCCACCCTAGGGGAAGAGGTCGGGGTCCACCTAGCGGCACTCGGGCTCTCAAACGCTGGTCGGAGGACCTGGCAAGCGTCTTTGCTTCTCCTAATGCAGCACCAGCTGATTTGAGCTCAGAAATATTCCCTCCCTAAGTATTTCCTCTGGAATGGAAGTTCTTCCCAGCCCAAGGAGAACTGATGGGTGACACAGCAAGGAGGAACATGACCTCCAGTGGGCACCATGTCCCTGTGGGTCCCTCACCCCTAGCCGCTGAGCAGAAGGATCTCTTCTCCTGCAGATGCTGGATTCAGCGTCAGGAGCTGAGACCCCCACATCAGACAGATCCTGGCTCTGCCTCTTAGCAGCCGTGCGAGCTGATCTCTCCAATTACGCGGGGACAAGCAGGGCATCTGTATCTCCATTTATTGGAAATATTTATAAAATAATCCAGGTGAGGCGCTGTGGAGAGAAAGGCCTCCATGAACGGTGCCTGCTCAGATCGGGGTTATGACTATTATTCTCTTCCATTCGTTCCAGTCCCTGACTGTCTTCCACCTGTCCACACCTCCCTGCTAGTGACGCCTTCCAGCCTGCGGTCCGCACGCTGAGCCTTTTCTTAGGTCCCCAGTCTGGGCAGGTCCCCCGCCTCTGCTAGCTTTGCCCTCTAGCTTTTTATTTCCCAGCACTTTCCACGATGGATTCATTGTGGGGGTGGAGCAGTGCCCTACAGATCAGGAGTCCTGGGGCAGCAGGGACTGTGATCATCCCGTTCACCCAGCGCCTGGCACAGGGCACAGCGCAGTGAGGATTCTAGTAATTGCTTGTGAAAAGAACGAATGGATGAATCAATGGACGGAAGGGTGAGTGATAAGGCATTTTGCCATCAGCCCGAGAATGCGTATTTTAGAGCAGAGTTTACAAACTTGAAAAGACTCCGATTGGAATCTCACCTTTGTCGCCGAGTTGCTGGGTGACCAGAGGCAAGACTCTTCTTCCTGAGCCACAGTTTCCTCATCTGGACAATGAGGCTGGCAACACCTTCGTGGAGAATGGCGAGGCGTCACTGAGAGGATGGGGAAATGACGCAGAAACGCTGAGCACTCAGCTCATAGTCACTGCTCAGTAAGCGCCAGCTCTAGTAATGGCCATAGTGACGTTAACATCCTCCTTGAAACAGCAAGCAAGGTGTGCTCTGCACTTTTATGTCAAAATCCTCTGGACTGACCCACTCTTCTTGACTACTAGAAAGGCCAGGAATGGCTGATAAAAGCTTCTATTCATTCATTCATTCATTCATTCATGCACATGGTGAATCAGCACATATTTCCTGAGTGTCCTCTGGATGCCAGGCCTGAGGCTGGATGCTGGTGGTTGGGGGCAGAAAGGAGGGTCCTGTACCAAAGAGAAAACCATCAAGTTCATCCTCTGTGCAAAGGAAGTGGCTGAGACCCTCTGCCTGCATCCTGTCATCCCCCCGCCCCCCATGGCTGGTCCATCTGTGTCCTTTTCCTGTGCCTCTTTCATCCCGCCCGGGTGGAGGTTCTGTGCCCCCCACCCCACCTGCAGCCATTTCCTGCCCTTCTGTCATCTGCTTCCTTTGATCCCTTTGTCAAGAGACTCTTGGAAGCTTCTGAACCGTTGGCAACCCTGGCAACCTCCTCTGAGGGGCTGGGCCTGGCCTGCTGACCCTGAAGAGGCTGGGTCCAAAGTGGGCTTCTCTTGGGATGCTGCTCTGGGAGGCAGATGGCTTCTGGCCCCATTCATTCATTCACTCACTCACAGGTCCCACAAAGTAAACAAGATACTCAGTCTCTGCCCTGGGCACGAATCTGTTTACTCCTCGCTCTGCCCCTAAGAGGTGGGTCCAATTATCCTCCCCATTTCATAGATGAGAACACGGAGGCACCGAGAGATGGAGTTTGTCCCGAGCCCCACGGCTATGAACTTTGTTTGCCTGGCTTCAGCCCCCCGCACTGCTCTGTCCCTTGGTGAATGAATGGGGTTTGGGGGGGAGCTCTAGGCATCAGGACCCTGGACCCCCTCTGCTGCACCAAGTGGAGAATCTGCCTTTTCCCTGTTCTGGCCTCAGAGGATCTACCTGGGTGGCCAGGTGCTTTACGCTCCTCCTCCGGAGGGTGGGACACAGGAAGGAGAGCTGAGGCCTACCTTCAAGGGACGAGGGACGTCCTTCAGAGGACAGCTGTGCAGACACTGGGAGCCACCTGCCCTCTGCCACACGCCCCCTCCTGGGGCCCCTGGAGCCCTTCCGAAAGCAGAGGCGGCCGAACCATCCATCCATTCATCTGTCGTTCACTCACTCACTCACTCACTCATTGGGCAACAAAATACACAGGTGAGCAAGACAGGCCCCGTGTCTGTCCTCAGGGAGCTTCTTGAAGGGCAGCCAAAGACACACAGAGAATGAGTGAATGAGGTAGTTTGGGCTGAATAAGCGCTGTGAAGGCTGTGGTCATGAAGAGGAAGGCAGAGGAATGGGCTGGGGACCTCCCCGAGGAGGCGACACCTGAGCCGAGACCTGAAGAGTCCATAAGAAGGGTCCCCAGGAGGGCTGGGGAAAGTGGTTCCAAGTGTCCCAAGGGAACTGCAAAGGCCTGGAGGAGGGGCAGAGGTGAGGCTGCGTGAGAGGTCGCAGGGACGAGGGGAGGAGGGCGAGTGACCGGAGATGACCTCAGCAGGGGCTGGAGTGCAGTCAGGGTCGGGTGCCCTCTGGGTGCAATCTTTACAGACTCCCTGGGCCTCCCCGGGGCAACACCGAGGAGGAGGCTCAGGCAGAGGGGCAGATGGAGGCAGGAGGGTCCTGAGGAGATGGGTACGAGGCTAAAGATGGTGAGGCTGGACCGGGTGGGGATGGGGGTGGGGGTGGCTGTGGGAAGGGGGCGTCCCTTCCTCTTTGTTTTTTTTTTTGGAATAGTTTGAGGATATGTATTCATTCTTCTTTGAATTTTGGTAGAATTCACTTGTGAAGTCATCCGGTCTTGAACTCTGGCTTGTTGGGAATTTTTGAATACTTCTTCAATTCCATTGCTAATAATCGGTCTGTTTAGGTTTTCTATTTCTTCCTGCTTCAGTCTTGGTAGGTTGTATGCTTCTAGAAGTTTCAAGGGTGGGGTGGGAGGATTGCTGGGTCATGGGGCTGAATCAGGCCCTGCTCAGGCCTCCTGGCAGGGGAGGCTGGAGAAGGCTCCTGGAGTGACTGGCACAGCAAATCTAATGCCCCATCGACAGGGCTCCGGCACAGCCCCATGAAGATTTATCCTGGCCACAGACGGAGAAGGCGCTGCCCGCGGGCGATAATGACGATGATGAGGATGGCCGTGCTCTGTGCTGAGAGCTGCACCTGCTCGAGCTCGTTCTGTACCTTTGTGGTCTCCATCTTACGGATGAGGAAAGCGCAGCTCCATGGGGTAGAGTGACCCTCAGGAGGCTTGCGGTGACTCTCAGCAGGGCCTGCGAGATGTCACACGATGAGGCTTATCTGTGCTTCACTTGCTACCTCTCACTAGCCTCAGGGCCTTTGCACGTGCCCGGACCTGTTTTCCTCCCGTCGCTGCGAGATGTCACACGATGAGGCTTATCTGTGCTCCACTTGCTGCTACCTCTCACTAGCCTCAGGGCCTTTGCACATGCCCGGACCTGTTTTCCTCCCGTTGTAACCTTCAGGGTATGTATCTGTTGCCCCAGAGTATATAGCCATGAGGATGGAGTTAGGGCTTATTTCTCCCTTGTTTATTCATGAAGTGGCCAGGCCTGAAATGGAGCAGGGGCTCCCCTTCTCATTGAGAAGACGTGAGTGAGTGAGTGAGTGAGTGGGGGACAGCCTAAAACAGGGCACAAGGGGCAGGCAGGTCCCATGGTCCCCTTCTTTTCTGTCCCGGATGGGGTACCTGTGGTTCGCTCAGAATGGAGCTGAGCGATTAACATTATATCGTTGAATCCTCAGAACCAGCCTGTGAAGTTGCCCCAATCATTTTTATAAATGAGGCTTAGAGTAGTGAGGTGACCCACCCAGGGTTACTCGGCCAGTGAGTGGCAGAGCAGGAATTTTTTTCCATTTATTGAGGTATAACGCATATACAACAACTGCACCTATTTAAATCACACTATTTGATGAGTTTTGGCCTAGGTGTACACCCATAAAACCATCACTACCATCAAGACAGAGAACACAGCCACCATCCTTAAGAAGTTCTCTTGGGCCCCCTTGTGGGACCTTCTGGCCCCCAACATCCCCAGGAAACGACTGAGCTGCTTTGCCACTATAGGTTATTTTGCACTTTCTAGAATGTTCTAGAAACGCAATGGAACAGTATGCATTCTTTGTCGCCCGACTCCTCTCACTCAGCACCATGACCTTGACATTGCTGTGTTGTCCTATGAATTCGGCCGTGTTCCACTGCAGGGATGCACCACAACCTGCTGATGGACATTTGGGCTGTTTCCGGTTTTGCCTGTTACAAATACAGCTGCTGTGGACATCCCTGTAAAAATCTGTGTAGACCTGGGTGTCTATTTCTCTGGCATAAATGCCTGGGAGGGGAGAGGCTTGGTTCTACAGGAAGCGTATGCTCCACTTTTTAAAGCTGCTAAATGTTCTCCAAAGTGGTCACTTTACATTGCCACCAGCCGTGGAGGAGGGTCCCACAGGAGCATGGGGACTCCAAAGGAGGGATGGTGCCCAGGGCCTGCCGTCCCTCACTGCCAAGCCCCGACCTCAGAGCCTTGCTGCCTGGGTAGCTGGCAGGAGAAGGAGCCAACAGACGGCAAGGAGCTGGGTTGCAACCCCCGCCCCCCATCCCACCCACAAGGAGCAGGCGCCTCCTGAGCCAGCCTGCATCGCTGCCCCCTCCCCTCCCAGGTCTGGCTTCCTCTTTGAGCAGCGCTGCCTCTCCCAGGGGCCCGGCTGCTCTGGAGGGCAGGGCTGGCACGCAGTGGGCGTCACGCCAACGCCAGTGTGCCCAGGGAGCAGCCAGAGGCCCCTCTGTGGACCCTGTCTCTGGCTGTACTGGGGTCTCGCCTGGGGTCTCCAGTGAGAAAGGCGTAGGGGTGGAGAGGCTGGGGAGGAGCTGAGGGTTTCACTGGGCTCCTTAGCACGCTGGTGAGAGAGGTGAGTGTGTGTGTGCGTGTGTCTGTGTGAGTGTGAGAGCGTATGTGTGTCCCTTTGAGCTCAGACAGAAGGAGAAAGAAAGAAGCCATCAGAACCCGGGCAGAGGGGGAGAGAAGAGAGAACCAGAGAGAGAGAGGCGGCCCAGCCGAGGGGGGCGAACCTCCCCTTCCAGACCCCAGGGAGGTGGGCCGGAGGCGGGGAGGGGTGCGGGAGGGGAGCAGGAACTCTTCATTAAAAATGAACCCCCTGAGCCCGGCCCGCGGCGGCCGGGGAGCCCGGCTCTGTCGCAGGAGCACAGAGGCCCGCGCCGGCTCCAGCCGCCCGCGGCCGACCTCACGCGTCCTCAAAGCCAGCCTGTCCCACTTCCCCCGCCGGTTGCTACAGCAACTGAGCTCTGAGTAATCAGCTGCACGGTGACCTTTCTTCCCCCGGAGAGAGGGAGGCAGGGAGGGAGGGAGGGAGGAGAGAGGATGGAGGGAGGGGGAGAAAGGGAGGGGGAGAGGAGAGAAGATGGGGAGGAGGAGAGGATGGAGAGGGGGAGAACAGAGAGACGAGGAGGAGGAGACGATGGAAGAGGGGATGGAGAGAGGGGGAAGGATGGAGGTGGAGGGAGGAGGGGGAGGGGAGAGGGAGGGCGAGAAGGGAGGCTGAGCGGCCGGTCAAAGCTGTAAAAACACTGCAGCTGGGGTCTGGGGGCTTTGCGGGGAGGAGCTGGCAGGAAGCGGGAGAGAGGAGGGGCGCTGGCATCTCTGCTGGGGCGAGGGAGACGCTGCGGCACCGGGCGGGGGCGCTGCGGCGGGTACTGACCTGGACGGATCCCCGCCCAGTCACCCCTCCCCGCCCCTCCCCCAGTGCT